ACAAAAAAAAAAAAATTCTTGGACCATAATGCATGTTTGTTCCATGTCTAAAGCATTCTGTTATCCATGTAGACATTACCCATGTCTTTTCATTGCCAATGCACCACTACATCTTTGTCCACTAACCTCTATTGAAAACATTAGGTATGATTAGCAGTTGGATTCCCATCTAAATCTGTATATTAAATTTCTGAATTTGGAGTTTATTTGGGTTACTAATAAATTGGTGTATTGCGTTTCAAGTTCGCTGATTTAGGAAACCGTCGAGTTTGGTATCAAGATCACTGACATTTGTCACTGCAGGATTGGAAGAAAAGAAAAAAAAAAGAAAAAACAGAAAACTGGCCAATGGAGGCCCGCCACGTCACTTGGGGTCGACCCCCACTGGGGGTGTGTAGCAGCGTTGAACACAAAATTACCCTTACTGCAAATTCGGGTTGGGAGAAAGCACCCCCCACCTTCGGACACTCTCCGTCAATTTACCTCAAAGTTGGATCCACAATCAAAAGATTAACGTCTAGAACTTGTCAGGATTTACATTACCCAACAAGATAGACATGATGATAGTATTAACCAAGGAGGTTGCAATAGGTTGGAAGACTTCTAAAAAATGTTTATCCCAGACATCGACTCAACTAATCATGATAAGTAATAAGCAAAACCAAATATTTATCCCGAACACTGACTCAATTAATCATGATTAAAAAAAATTGGGGTATTTTTTTTTAAGGTCCCTGATATTATGATTTTATAGTATAAAGGACATCAAATATTTTCATGATGTCTAAGGTCCCTCAACAACAATCCAGAGAAAATTGATCCAGAGAAAATTCAAGTCAGAGAAAATTGATCCAGAAAAATTTTGAATTTCTCTGACCTCCTTAGCCTTTCATGGACACTGCCAGAGAAATTTCCTTAGCCTTTCATGGACTCCAGAGAAAATTCAAATTTCTCTGCCGTGGGTTCGATCCTCCACTAGCAACATCCTGGTTATATGATTATGAATTACAAATTCTTCAATTCTGCCAAAAGATTTCGTTAATGTTACTGGATGTGTGGAACCTAAGGAAAATTTCTTTAATGTTAAACATGCCAAAAGATACATGCTTGAAACCAGAGAAATTCTCTGGATCAACCCAGAGAGTTGAACCCAGAGATGTTGCCTTCCATAATATATACCTTTGACTCTAACAACCAAACAATGCATAAAGCTGAGAATTTAATTACCAGAGCTAGAGCTAGATGAAACGAGAGTGAGCCAAGCAAGAAGAAAACGAAGCAGCATTAGAGTTCGCATCTTCTCTCTTCTTCACATCTTTTGGGGTTCAAGACTGTGCTGGTGGTTGTTGGTGTAAAAAAAAAAAAAAAAGAGATACACACACAGCAACACACAAGCTCCCTCACTCTTTCGGTGATGGTCTCGTCCTCCGCCGACTTCTTCTTGCAGATCATGCAAATGCCGTCTTCATCACAGGGGAGGTTGCTAGAGTGCGCCTTTGAAGAAGGAAAGGCAGGCCGGGTTCCGACGATCATCTCAGCTCTCCATGATCGATCTGTATTTCAGAAACAGAGTAATGATGATTGCGTTTCCGATCACGAACAGTGAACTCTATGTGTGTGCGTGTTTGATCGTGGTGATGAGTGAGAGTAGAGAAAATGAAGGGGGCTGAATTTCTCTGTGATAGATGGGAGGGACCTTAGACATCAAAAAATAATATCGTGAATCTCTTCCATTACGAAAAGTGGGGGAGGAACCCTAGATCAATTTTTCTTAAAAATAACTTAATAATTCCCGCACAAACAATTTAAAAAAAAAATCCCTATCAAAGACATAAAAATCAAAATCAAAATTTAAAATAAATAAATAAACCCACCAAACCAAAAATGTTTATCCCGGACATTGACTCAATTAATCATGATAAGCAAGTCTATTAAGAGGCCGTTTGGAAAGATTTTTTTTGTACGTGAAGTCGTTGAGTGATTTTTTTTTCTTTACTTTTTTAACTATTGACAAACAAATTTTTTGACTATTTAATCAAAAAGTTAGAAAATGCTATAGGCCCTAACATTTTTACCAAATATTTGATCACATGAGTGTGCTATACTCATGTGAGACATTTGATCAAATATTTTATAAAAATGTTGGTATCCCTAATATTATTCGAAAAAGTTAGCTTTTTAAGAACATCTTAAACAATTCCTATGAACACCACTCGATATGAAGGTTAGCACATACATGAACTTTAGAGGTCTTTTTGGCTATAGAGTAATAAAAAAAAATTTAGGCTTATTGTAAAATTTTACCTTTGCGGTCCGTCTGATTATGTAAAATCCGAAAACTTAAATCTTTTTAAAAAAAATCATCAAAGACCAAAAAAAATAAAAACCACCAAAATTTTTTATCCCGAACACTGACTCAATTAATCATGATAAACAGGTCTATTAAGAGGCCGTTTGCGAGGATTTTTTTATGAATAAAGCTTAAGACCCCCAGTGGGGGTACTAGGGGTCACTCCTGATTGGCCAAAAAAAACAATTTTTTTTTTTTTCTTTGGTTTCAGCCACTGGCAGAGCGCCATGTGGCGCTGGGGGTCACTGGGGGTGCCCCAGCTGGGGGTCTGAATCACAGCCGTTTTTTTATTTTTCTTTTGTGAGTAGAGTCGTGGAGAGATTTTCTTTGACTTTTCCAACTATTGACAAACAAGTTTTTGACTATTTAATCAAAAAGTTAGAAAATGTAAATGTTATAGGCCTTAATATTTTTATTAAATATTTGATCAAATGTCTCACACTACACTCATTTGAGACATTTGATCAAATATTTAATAGAAATATTGGCACCCCTAACATTACTCGAAAATGTTACTTTTTTTTAGAATATTCTAAATAATTCCTATAAACACCACTTGAGATGAAAGTTAGTGAATACATGAACTTTAGAGGTCTTTTCAGCTATAGAGTAGTAATAATATTTTTTTAAGTTTATTTTTATCTTTAAAAAACTTTTTTCAATTTTAAGTTAAAATAATATACTTTTTAGTTCAATCCAAAGTCTTTTTTATTTATTTATTTAAATCAAAGATAAGCCAATTTTTATAAGTTTAGTGACCTTTTTTTTTATTTTTTCAAGGTTATTTGGTCTAGATGGACATAAAAAATAAAATAAAATAAAATAAATTGACATAAGTTTTATAATAATAAAAAAATCACCAAAAACAAAAATAAGCCTAAAAAAATAATAAAAAAAAGAGACAGATTATGAGATTGTGGGATTTACTCCCAGGTCCCATCTGAACCTAGGGGTGCTGGCTGTGACTTAGTCACAGCAGCAATCTGCTGTGGTTTTGTGGAGGATTTTTTCGAGTCTTTTTTGATGATCTGAACCGTTCATATTGTAAGGTTTGTTAAATAGATCATCCATGCAAAAAATCAAATTGATTGGAAATCTTTGATTGGAAATCTATAACTTTATGACAAGAGTACATTTGTTTTCAAAAATACAAACGGTTCACATTATCTCGATAATTTTTGTAAAACAATTTGAATCTAATCATAGGGTTACAGATTTCTGATTTAACTTGAATTTTTTGCATGAATGATATACTCGACGAACCCTACAATATAAACGGTTCGAATCATTGAAAAAAACTCAGAAAAAGCCCCCACGGGCTCACAGCAGATCTTCACAGCAGCAGCCCCAGGTTCATCTAACTATTATTCTTATTAAAAACACCGCTTTAGAGTTCAATGCCAATGGAAACATGAGTTCCAAATTGAATTTGCATGTACTTTTGAAGGCCCAACTCAAATAAAGAGATTGATATAATTATGTTGAAATTGTAAAATTTATTGTATTTTTTCTAAATGTTATGGGAGATGACTACAATTTATCCAAAATATATTTACTTGTTTTGATTACCTTCCCCAGTCTGCGTACCTCTTGGCCGCCCAAAAATAGAAAATAGAAAACACACAAAGCTCTCTTGGTAAGGAAGTTGCTGAATGAATGGGGGGATATAAAATTGAAAGTTCAGTTAGCATTGATTAGTACTTGAGGTAGAAATATGGGGGAAAGTGTTCATGCAACAAAACTTTGAATTGCCTAACCTTTCACATCTCCCACCATCTACTCTACCAACCCACCTTTGCCTATGTGTGTATTCGAGGCATCTTCTTACTTCCCATCACCTCATTGTGTTAATACCCTAAAAAAAATAATAATAATAATTAAAGAAACCAAGGATGATATTCAAGTTCTTATACATTTCAATATTACGACAAAAATTGGACAAACCCTTTCAAAATATTATGTCAACGGTTTTGCTTCAAATATATATATTTTTTTACAGTGAAAATGACCTCTCTTCTTCTCACAGCCTAATTTTGAGTGCAACGCCAACCTCCATGCATTTTAAGGTGCGATCATTTGTTTGATAAAATAATAAGAGGTGTATCTTTTGTAAGCTCATTGGCTAAAATTGTTGTGTGACATGACTCTTGTGGAACTTTAATCCCATGAATTCAGAATATCTATCTTCTCTTGCATTGTATCAGGGTAATACATAATATCACTAACTAATAAAAGAACTCCTATGTATAATCTCTTTTTTTTTTTTATCACTATTGGATATCACTGATTACATGACATTATGTTATTTGTTTTTATTATTTCTTTAACGATGATTTCTGAATAAAAATCCAGTCATAAATATCCGCGTAAGTAGTAATAAGTGTTGGAGGGTGCATTTGAAATGAGCGTGCATGGGCAAGGATAGATCTAGGGGGGTGCGAATGGGCTGCGCCCTCAAAATTTTTTAAAATATCATATATTATATTAGAAAATTTATAATTATAAGGGTTTGTAACTCTAAACATACTTTCGCATAATTCTGGAGATGACACTCCATTAGCATAACAGTGTCGTTGCCCAGCGATTTACACACAAAAATATTATTAAATAGTGATACCACGAATAAGTGTTCACCATAGAGACTGAAAAGAAAACAGAAAACGCTAGTATACAAGTTGCTACGCTGAGCAATTCAATTCAACTTCAGTTGAATCCATGCTAATTGCAACATATACACAGTGCAATATATGATTGAATGGTAATACCAAATCTGAGTGATCACATAGATATTGAAAAGAAAATAGAGAAGGCTATAGTACAAGGAGCTAAGTTGAGCAATTCAATTCAATTCAACTTCAGTTGAATCCATAGTAATTGCTCTCTCTGTTTCTATGCTGCTATTTTATTTTATTTTTTCATGGACAGCGACCAGTGTATAAGCATTATCACGCTGCGTTGTCCTATTCCTCATTGTCGCCATGCTGATCGTCATCGTCAGAAGAAGAAGCAGCAGCAGCAACCAATCCAAAATCGAAGATGAAATCAAGAAAATAGAACAAGAAAACCAGAACAGGGCAGCTAAGAAACATGGGAATCGGACCGAAGATCCAAAGAAACAGGGGGAAAGAAAAGTAGAATGCTCTGAGACCCAATGACCAGAAATAGCTTCCCCTGTTCACCGTCCTCCCCACATACTCGGGCGTCAGATAGCGGCTATGGTGGAGACGATTGTGAGTCATTTTCTTGTGTGGAACGTTGATGAGTATGCTGGCATGGCTGTAGTACCTGATGGACTGGACATTGAACAAAAATGCAACGAGGAAGCAGACTAGTATTGAGAAGAACTTTATGGAGAATCCCATCTCACTTTTGTCTCCCAATACGAACTTGCCTGCTGACTTAGTGCTGGTTATGTTGCTCATGAGGAGGGCGATGATAGAGCTGAGCATGATCGCCATTGATGCCAAAAGGGTCGATGCCATTATGTTGTTTCTCAGCGTCTGCACCGCCAGAACTCCGTACTTTGATGCGTCCTGCCATCATCCATAGCCCTTTTCAATTTCAGAATCATCAATATTGCATGTGTATGTTTATATACGAATTCACCGTCTTGTTTGCCCGAAAACTATTCACTTTTTTCAAGTATTTGGTACAATAGAAAATGTTAAATGAATGAAAAATAAAAAATTTTGATCATCAGAAAACAAGTTTATTTGGGTTGAAAGTAAGAAAAAAAAGTTTTGAAACCTAAATCATTTAGCCCACCACCACCACCTTGCCGCCTCTACCCCACCCCACCATGACCACTTCAACCAAACCACCACCACCACCTCCACTTCCACCACGTGCCTTGACGCCACAATCACCTCCACAAAGCCCCCACCACCCATGGTTTTAAATAACTATATCGCTTATGTATCAATATCACTGGTATTGATATTTAAAACCATGTTACCACCACTAAGACCACCACCTGCCGCCACCATCACCTCAACAACTGCACCACCATTAATGATGCAATTTACAAAATTTTCTATGATTTTTTTTTTTTTTTTTGAGCAAATAAACAGAAGGTGAAATTTGAAATAGATACCTCCATCATAGCACAAACCCAGAAGCGGCGGTTGATGGCGTTGACTCCGATAAAGGTGCGAGAAGGGTGGTTGACGACCTGATAGACGAGCCAGGCATGGTAAGCCACCATTATGAAGAGTCCTGCTGGTACTAACAAGTAATCAAGAACTTGTTTCTCCATCACAGTTAAAAATGACCTCAGTTTGAAGATGAAGATCCTCTCTCTCTCTCTCTCCCTCCCCCGAGGAATTGTTGAACTCCAAAACTGTGGAGACAGAGGTAGAGAGAGAGAGGGTGACAGAAGTGTTATAGGGTTGTGGCGTGCGAGTGTTCAATAATGCTTTGTGATTCAATAATGTTAGATAAACACCTCAGACAAGTGGAGACAAGTTGGATATTATATTGAGTAATTATATGTATTGATGAATAAAAAAATCTAATGATATAATTTTGCCATATTTTTAATATTTTGTGTTTTGATAGAAATTGATATTGTATTTGAAATATACTTCCAAAATGTAGTGTTGATACTCTAAAATAAATTATGAAAAGAAGATGCATATAGAGAGAGGGTTTGAGAATGCCATTACACTTTACACTGACGTGGTTATACTACAAACAGATTTGAGTTATCCATTTGAGGGAGGTTTATGTGAGACCAACAAAATGAACGATCCAAATTTATTTGTAACATTATCGCATGTGAGAGTGAATAATTTTTCCACCGTAAAATGATTTCTAATATTATTTCAAGTTGTCCGACACATAGAGATTGAAAAGAAAACAGAGGATGCTAGTACAAGTAGCTAAGTTGAGCAATTCAATTCAATTCAACTTGAGTTGAATCCATATTAATTGCTCTCTATCTCTCACTCTGTATCGAATCCATATTAGATGCTGCTAGTACAAGTAGCTAGATTGTTACTACTTGATAGTGAACCAAAAACCAAAACAAAATCAACAATGACCACTGTATCACCCAGTATTGTTCTCCTCATCCTCGCCGTGGTGATGATCATCGTCCTCAGCAGCACTAGCAACCCAACCAAAATCGAAGGTAACATCAAGAAAATAGAGCAGGAAAACCAGCACAAGGCAGCTAATAAACATGGGAATTGGACCAAAAATCCAAAGAAACAGAGGGAAAGAAAAGTAGAATGCTCTGAGACCCAATGACCAGAAATAGCTTCCCCTGTTCACTGTCCTCCCCACATACTCTGGTGTCAAATGGCCGCTATGACAGTGATGATGATCGTGGAGAGTCATCTTCTTGAGTGGGACATTGATGAGTATGCTGGCATGACTGTAGTACCTAATGGACTGGACATTGAACAAGAATGCAATGAGGAAGCAGACTAGTATTGAGAAGAATTTTATGGAGAATCCGAGCTCGGATCGGTCTCCAAACACGAACCTGCCTGCGGACCGACTGCTGCCTGAGTTGCTCATGAGGAGGGCGATGAGAGAGCTGAGCATGATCGCCGTCGAGGCCAAAAGGGTGGATGCCATTATGTTGTTTCTCAGCGTTTGCACTGCCAAAACTCCAGTTTTTGATGCGTCCTGCCATTATCCATATCCCATTGCAATTTTAGATACAATCAATGAAATTTAAATACGGCAAAAAACTAACTCGAGCACGGGTCGTTTAATCTTGTTTGCCAAATAGATCAGTTTTGAGTCAAATTTTGTAAGTTATAGCATCTCCAACGGTTCAGTATTTTTTTCACCAAATTTGAGTAAAAAATTGCTCATTTTCTCAATCTGATATCAGTTGCTCCAACGGTGCATCAAAAGAAGGGTCATCCGTGGGTCAACGGGTGGGTCGACAGGTTGGTCGGCCGGTCAGTCGACTGGTAAGGCAAATTTTTTTATTTTTTTTTTAACCTTTTTGAATTGTTTGAACCTACCTATTTAAACTGTTTGAACCTGTTTCCGGTCGACCGGTCGGACATCCAGTAGGTTGACCGATGGGCCCACTTGCAACGTTACAGCACAGTGAATTGGTGAAGGCTCACGAAGATTCTCAATTTGGTGAAAAATTTGCTCCGTTCTCAATTTAATATCAGTTTGGTGAAACCATTGGAACAGAAAAAGTGACTTTTTTCATCAAATTCAAATTTGATACTGAATCTGATGCAACGTTGGAGATGGTCTCAGGAGATTTCCTGTCTAACCCATTGGAGTCTCCTATCATCTAAAAGGGAACTTTGAAGGTTTTGTATTCAAGTTCAGTGATCAAGTCGAAGCTTGACTAAACTCAAATTCAACTTGAGAAAGATATGTTAATTAATAATTATTTTTAATAAAATATCAAATATATTTTCGTTAAATTTTTTCACATTTAATTGATAAAATTTATTAATAATATGAATTTCTTTTTATATATATTTGATCAAAAGCTACTATCATTTTTTCCTCACTTTTTGCACATTAATTTAAGATTTTCATTATGGCGGGCTTGCCTCCAGTCCACCATCTGGACTGGAGGGTCCAGTCTAATCCATTGGGCTTACTTTTGAATTCCTTTTTGATAATTCGAACCGTTTACATTTTAAAGTTTGTTAAGTACATTATCCCTGTAAAATATCACGTCAATCAAAGAACGGATACTAGGTATTCAGATCACTTTTTTATGAACCGTTAATTTTTTGACTGTTCATTTTTTCTAGACAAAAGTAATCCGAATACATAGTATCTGTTATCCGATCAAAATAATTTTTACAGGAATAATGTACTCAATAAATCCTAAATTGTAAACAGTTCTGATTATTGAAAATGGACCCAAAAGTGAGCCCAATGAATCGAACTGAACCGAACTGTCCCAGATCTAGACTGAAGACAGTCCGCACCCTTTCATTATTAGGTCCAACTAGACCCGTCCAGTGTGGCCCATGGGCCCTTGTTTGGGCCCCGTTTCGATAATCTAAACCGTTCAATATGTAAAACTCGTTGAGTACTATATTTTTGAAAAAATCATGTTGATCGGATATCGATAATTATTTAATCAAATTAAAATTTTGTCAACTATTTATTTTTTCATCGTTTATTTTTTTTAATACAAATCTGATCCAATCAAATTGCTATCGATATCCGATCAATATGATATTTTACAGGGATATAGTACTCGACGAGTTCTACATATTAACGATTTGAATTATCAAAACGGATCCAAAAAGGACATATGGGCTCGACTGAACGGATTTAGTCTTAATCTCAACCTAAAACAAACTGGACCCTTCATTATTATGTTGAAGCTCTAACATGAAGATTTCAACATCAACAACATTGCATATATATATATATATATAGATTTGATATGAAAAAATTATAAGAAATGAAAGGAATGTGATGGGAATTGAAAGAGACATAGATAGATGTATACCTCCATCATGGCACGAACCCAGAAGCGGCGGTTGATGGCGTTGATGCCGATGACGGTGCGAGAAGGGTGTTTGATGACCTGATAGAATAGCCAGATGTGGTAAGCCACCATTATCAGCAGCCCTGTTGGTACTAACATGTAATCAACTACTTGTTTCTCCATCAAATCGCTTTCTCTTTCCCCAGGGATTGTTCAACACCGAATGAATGAAGTAGTGGAGAGACCGAATCCAAGTGTTACACGGCTGTTTGTGGTGTGCGTGTATTGTTGACCAAGTATAATCCCTAGGTTCCGCAACGGTGATGCCAAACTAAACCCACTACTCGTATCATAGGTTCATTTATACCTGAAAAATACTAGAGATTCTACATTTTTTCTGAACATCTCATATACATGTGACCTACACTCTATATATATATATGTATCTCAAATCTATATGAAATATTTGGTAAAAAATTTAAGAATTTATTGATGAGTCTTATATACAAAGTTCAAAATTTATAGTCTCAAACAAAACACTGGCACTAATTAGTTTTATATAGTCGTAATTTTTATCAAAAAATCCTATTCCTTGAAAAAAAAAAAAATTAAAACGTTGCTAAATCTCACTACTGTCAGACTTCCATCAGACGTCATCACAGACTCACCGCAATGTTCAACATCACCGAAAAATCGCCAGAATATTGTCGAAATGTTCTGAACATCACCGGAAGTTATTGTAATATTTAATGTTCGCTAGACGTCAAGAATATAGCCAGAGACTCATCAAAATGTCTAGAATATTGCTAAAAAAATAAGAATAAATTGAGAAATTAAAGTGAAAAAACATAGCAAAATGTATTAAATATTGATAAACTGAATTGAGGGGGGGGAATATGTTATTTTCAATTTTTGTAAGGCTTAAGTAAATATTTTTCAATTGATCAAACTGAAAAACAAATTTTGAAACTATAAAATGAAACTGAAAAACATTTTATGAAATTGCAAAATTATGAAAGTTGTGAAACTGTAAAATTATGAAAGTTCTAAAGAAAGTTATGAAACTGTAAAATTTTACAGTTCTAAAAAATGATTCATTTCAGCACCAAAAAAAAAACTAAACTGTAAAATTTTACAATTTTCACCAACTGTAATTAAAACTCGAAAACAACTTGTTCAAAATTTGAAAATTTTCTCCATTATAACAGGAAAATTAAAAGTATGTAGTATAAAAAAAGTATTATAACTGAGAAATCGAAGAAAATAGACAAATATAGAGAGATACTTGTACTCCGATAACTATTTTTTAATTTAGATTTAGTCAGATCTAACATAGATCTACTCAATAGATCTACATCATATTTGAGTAGATCTACTCTCATCACTTTTTCCGTCGGTGAGCACGAAACAAGGAGTTGGTGTTTGGTGGTTGCCCACGAACTCCAATCAATGGTGATCCCCAGTCGCCGGTGATTATAGTTTAGAAAGAGAAATAAAAGAAGAAAGGCATCATTGTCATCGTCGTCGCCGCCACTGATATCAGAGAGAGAGAGAGATAAAGAGAAGAAGTAAGGTGTACGAAAGAGAGGAGAAGATAAATGGGTATAAGACTTTTGGGTTTATGTAAAAGGTTTTGGAATTAAATAGAATATACACTTTTCAAAAAGGACTTCTGGGTAATTTGCCTAAAATTTAATAAAAATTTAGGTAAACTACTAATAGATCCTAATAGTTAGAGTTAATTTTTATCAAGTCCTACTGAAAATAAATTTTAATAAAATTGCCACTAAAAATAATTTTTTGTGAAATTTTTTTACATATGTCGCAAAAGATTGACAATTAGTGACATTTTTTGTTACGATTTTTATAAATTGTCGCTAGAATTTACAATTAGTGACGTTTTTCTATGATGAATTTTTCAAACTGTTGTTGAAAGTTTAAAATTGGTGACGATTTTTTAAAACCGTTGCTAATACTTATAATTAGTGACATTTTTTATGATAATTTTTAAACTGTCGTTGAAAATTAATAATTAATGACTTTTTTTAATAGTGTTTGATGAAAAATGTCATTAATTCTCACAGAATTTATTAAACAATAAGTTCACCTATTAAGATGTACAGATAAATCCTCCTAAAAATTTTGAAATATGTAGCATTGTTTATACTTACATACATCCACACCAACCAAATATTTCTCTGAGGTGTGATATTATAAAAGGAACACCTTTGGTACGTACTCTTTGTATATTTACCTATTTTTATAATAAGACCAAGTTTGGCTAACCTAAAAAAGTGTACTTATTTCATTTTTTTATCTTTTTTGGATCACATCAATCAACATCTCCTCTCTACTTTTTCTACACATAATACAAAAAAAAAATAAAAAGTACACTTATTTAGTCTTCCCAAACTTGGCCTAAATGTTGTGTAATATTTTGATAAAATCATGTATTTTTATAATTATATTATATTTTTGTGGTTCAAAAATATTGTCATGAAAAAATATAAAGTAATGCTATAAAAACAAAAAAATTATATATAATGATGCGATTTCAACCTTTTACTTCCAAATAAAATACTATTAAAGATGAATTTATTTACAATAATGATATTGTCACATTATTCTCATCAAATTTTATGTATGAGTTTTATGTAAAAATTGAATTTTTCAAAAATATAAAACAATACTGCACTCTTCCATCTAAGCAATGTGGCAATTATTAAATAATAGGATAAATTTCACTTTAATTCTTTGTGATTTAACCCATGTGTAGAACACATTCCTATCATTTAGAAATAATCAGATAATCCTAATAATTTGCGGCTAAATTGCACACTATTGGATCGTATAAATTAACCTTTATACCTTCTCTTTTACTTGTCTTCTTCATCCTCCCATGGCTACCAACACACGCCACTCCACAGCCCCATTGCAGCTCTCCCCCACACCAACTGGCAGCCCTCCCCCACACCAACTCGCAGCCCTCCCCCACCCCAACGATCACCACTTTGCAACCCCTGGCACTCTCTCTATATATATCACCTTTACGATCACAGTCGCTATCCAGTCTCAAAGCAAATGCGGATACTATGAAACCCAGAGACACCAAAGTTTTTTTGTTTTGTTTTTTTTTTTTTTTGGGAGTGAAAGAGACTCCAAAGTTGTTAATCAACTAGGAAGAATCAAATTTGCAAAAACCCAAATTGTGTGGGATATCATCACCCCATGTGAGGGGTGAAGCAAGTTGGCCATGTTAGGAAGCCAACCTTTAGCCATGTGAAGAAGGAGTTGGCACAAGCTGGCCAGCCCCTCCATCCACCATTCTGTTAGTGTATAAATGGAGGCTGAGGGGAGGGTTTGAGAGATAGAGCAGAGCAAGCCACAGAGAGTGAGATATCTGAGGCGGAGAGACCGTCTTCCTCGGTGTGAGCAAGGGAGACGGGTGAGTGGGTGAGTGAGGAGAGTGTGAGCTCCTCCTCTATTGTAATCTTTCTGTAATATCTCCATTGTTATAGTGATAACCGGCTACTCTCCCGTGGACGTAGGCATTGAGGCCGAACCACGTTAAATATTGTGTCTCCTTGAGTGTGGGTGTGTTTTTCTGCATGGAATAATTTCTATAAGGTCTTGGGCGGGATCCCAGATCCCAACAAATTGACCCTTCTGAGAGATCAGATTTGCTGCGACTGCAGGGAAAAGGAAAGCACAAAGCTATTTCGGACGGAAGGTTCAACATTAACTAACAATTGATCAATCAACCAAGGACGAAAACAGGGAGGGTAAAATACATAAAGATCAAAGGCTGTTAAACCAAAAAAAAAATCATACTGGACGATCCCGCCACCGTTGAAGGTTTAGTAAGCTCGGTGGAAGGGCCATGAAGGAAAAGAAAAAAAAAGAGCAATTGCGGAAAGGAAGTAGGAAGGAAGAAGCATGGAGACACAAGATGGAGGCAGAAAAAAAAGATATTTTTGACCAACTATTGGAGTTTTGACGGCATTCAAAAAGAGGTGAAATAAAACGCGTGATGGGTGAAATGAAAAGTAGGCCATAAGATGAATCCAATAACACAAAAATGACACGAACGGAGTTATGATGAGGGAGATACAAGTCCTTGAACATGTGGATTTAAATATGAAAATTTTGCCTAAAGAGAGAAAATTTTATTTTTATCCAACTTTCGGAGCTCCAACAGTATACAAAAAGAGGTGAAACAAGATTTATGAGAGATGGAGCAAAAATTAGGCCATGACATGAATCCAACAACATAAAAAATGAGACGAAACGAAATTTCGACGAAGGAGGTACAAGTGCTTGAACATGTGTTTGAATTGGAAAATTTTGTCAAAAAAGAGAAAAATCTTATTTTTGGCCAACTTTCGTAGTTTCAATGGCATGCAAAAACAGGTGGAATAAGGTGTATGAGGGGTGGAATGAAAACTAGGCCATGAGATTAATCCAACGACGCAAAAATAAGGCAAAACGGAGTTACGACGAGAAAGATATAAGTGTTCAACCATGTGTTTTTTAATTTGAAAATTTTACCCAAATTCAATTAGTTCAATCAAACGGATATGGACGGAGGATTCAAATTGAAACACGGAAGAAACTCCAGAATTTAATTTATCAAAATTGAAACCCTGAGATTTAAATTAAAAAACACGCAAAACTCTAAATTTTATTTATTTATTTATTTATTTATTTTTGTAATTTGAACATAAAATTACTGATTCTGAAAAATCAGACAATAAGAAGTGTTCCCTCCAAACCCAAATCAATCTCTTTGTGACACATATATAACTATTTCAAGTGTCCATCATCCCTAAGACGAGATGAGAGAATTTTAATAGGACCAACACATTGATGTTGGGTTTGGCTTAAAGATTTGGTGAGAAATTTAAAAAGAAAACAAAAAAAAATAAAAATGTAGATAAAATATGAATAAAATATAATTATATTTTACACATTTTTCGTACATTTTTTAATTTCTCTTTTTAAAATCCTCACTAAATCTTTGAACCAAACATAGCTTAAGGTTATATTTGGAGTATACATTTGGATAAAAATTTGGAAACAAAAAAGAAAGATAAGTGAAATAAAAATTAAACACAATTATATTTCATGCACATTTTTTCTTTCCCTTTTTAAATTTATATCCAAATTTATACTCCAAATACAACCTAAGCCATTATTCTTACCCAATTTGGCTCCTATTTTTTTAACATAAAACACACTAGTGCGCATTTTTTTTTTAACCCCACTAGCGCACATTTGTTGCATCCACAATTTCACATGGTTAAGCCATAAATGTCATAATGCTTAAATTGACTTCATTCTAAGGATTGAGTGATTTGTTGGTGGTAAACCATTCAGTATATATATATATATACATATTCAACTCCTACACGCATGCCTCTAATGACTTGTACAAGCACGAATATTCTTTTTCCTCTTCAGGGCAAAGCACCACCGTGACATAAACACATGAGATTAATATGTATTATGTAAAAATTGAATAATTTTAATCATAATATAGTTAAAAATAAATGAGTAAACAAACACAAAATATAAGATATACCTGATTAGACAATGTGTCTTATATCATGAGGGGGAGAATCAAATCTCTACAATATTCTTATATGCATTAAAACTCTAGTTGAAAAATATAATAAATATCTATTTTCGAGAAAGGCCCCTTACAATAAAACCGAGCATACCATAAAAATATAAAGCACCCCACAATAGAATGGATGGGGGCCGACCTTATCTCGCGCACAACCGACAACGGTAGGTCAAGTTAACTCCATCCATTCCACCTATATGATGAGTCTGTTTGGTGCAGCTTCTTGCAAACTGAAATTTCATAACAAAAAATTATAAGTTAAAAACATTCGTTCTTCAATTTTCAAAAAATCAGTTTTTTCAGTTCATTTAATCTATTTGTGACTCATAAACTATAAGTAAAATCTACATCAAACACTTTGATACAGACTCCCAAAATAAAAATAAAAAGTTATAAACAACTTCAATAAACTGTACCAAACATGGCCAATAACTAGTTCTAGTGGAGACATGGCTTTCTGTTGAATTTGCCTGGACTCATGAAGACCTAAACAATTTTTAGTTTTCTCAGGTCTTCATGCAATAACCTCTCATAGATTCCCAAACTCAAACAACTTTATCCCCCTGGTGACTAGGACTAGAAATATGGATGACATTTCCATGCTTTTCTCATTCTACAGCCTAAATGCTTTTGAACTGTCCAATAACAACCATTAAAAGGTTCATGGCTGAATCAGCACTAAGCATAAGACAGACGAGTTATTGTCAAAAGAAAAGTCCAGCACTACCGCAAGGAGAGCACATAAGGATGTTTTGAACTGGCTGCATCATGCACATAGAGGAAGTAAGAAACACATACACTTCTAAGTGCGTGTCCGTGTCGTGTTTTGTCGTGTCTATGTCCCAACCACACTTATCAGACACGTCCCAGCATGTGTCAAGCACACATCCAAATGTCTTACATTAGTTTTTTTAGACCCAAACATGCTTTAGACTCTTGAGGGACACACATGTTCATCGTTTAGAAATACATGAAACACATTATAAATTTGAACAAAATATCTTATAGGATACAATGATGAAAGATAACTAATATAGATTTATATCCATTAATCTCTCCTGTTTTAAACTTTATGAATTAGTATTATGTTGCATTTTTGTGTCCCTCATGTGTCATGCGTATTTTAAAAAAAATTAACAGGTCAGCATGTCCGTGTCATGACAAATGTCCATGCTTTTTAGGGGGAAGTGCAGCCGACAACAAAGCCATGTTCAAGAATCAAAGAAATATCTTAAGAGATAAGAAAACAAGTTCAAGAGAATCTCCTGCACATATCTGAACAGGTCCACAATCAGGGAAAGTCACAACGTTAAACACCAAAATAATAACAACAATGATTACACGAGCAAAGGAAATAACCAACAATTTGTCAGGTGAAAACGAGCATCAATTTCAACTCAGACGATAATACATAACAGGGATTGAAAAAGACGATTATACATAAGGGAGATAAAAACACTTGAATGCAATAAAAAATGGGAAACAAAGTACAGAAGTGTGAGCAGAATATAAGGGAAATAATGATAGCACGCTTAACCTGAACACGTACACCACCGCCAATGAATGTGTTCAGTGTTCCAAAGTTCTAATCTTCTCAAGACAATTCTGCATATGCTGGTTTACTTCAGCTGTGAGACTCGCTCCTGCCACAAGCTTGTACTGTTCAAATTTCAATTCCTCACATTTCAAAGCTGCATTTTTACAGGCCTTGATACTTCCTAAATACAAACAAACAAACAAACAAAAAAGAATTTTAAGAAAAAGAACTCATTTTTTCAGCAGTAGAATACATAATCAGATAAGCATTATTGGATGAGATGCCATCATTTTGATGCTAATGAGATGCTATTTAAAAGTAATCCATTGTAATCAAATTCCCACAAAGGTTACTTCATTGAAATTCTTTTATATATTATTTTTCTTATAATTCTTCAATGGATTGTGGCATTTCTCAGACTTATTTTCTGTAAAATTAAAGATAGTCAAAACCAATGACCAACCTGGAATCCACAGAATTGAAACATATGAATCAGATTCAGTTCCAATTACAGTACAATACCAAACAAATCTACTGTAATTATCTGAATAAAGATGATTAACAACTTTTAAGTTATCTAAGAATAAGCAACAACAAATCAAGCACCTTTTTCTTTGATAAGACAACCACAATCATGTCCAAACTAGAACCTGAATCCTCCACCTCCCGTTTTTGAGTATGGAAAGAGAATCAAGCGAATAGCTGTGCCAACAGGACAGCACATTGAGCACTTAGGTCATGTTTGATTCACAAGATTAATAGTGAAGTATTAATAATCCTATTAAATTAGTGTGGTATTCACTATCCAATTGGATTAATATCCATTGGATTAATAATCCCACCCCTACCCCATTACTAATAATCCTACAAATTTGTTGGATTAATTATCCATTGGAAAAGAAAATTTTAAAAAAAAAAAAAAAAAATAGGACACATCACATGAGACACGTATAAAATATATAATTATATATATTTAGTTATATGTCATACACAAGGACAAGTGCTAATTATATATCACGTAAATGCTATTTAATTCAAAGACAATAAACAAATGATATATAACACTAGATTCTAAACTCTAAAAAGGGAGAATAGGTATAGCTTTACATTATTTTTCTTTTATCATTGCATTTTAAGTTATTTTATTTAAACTTGTATTGTATTTCATGTGAGTCTAAGCGATAGGCACGTGTTCCTCAAGTGTCTAAAGCGTGTTTGAGTCTAGAAAATTTTAAAAAAACAGTCAGACATCTTTGGAGGTGTGTCCAACAATGGTCAAGAAGTGTCCCATGAGTGTCATGTCGTGTATGACATGCCACCTTCTTAGATCTTAGAAGTGTCCATGTTTCTTAGATCATGACAGACAAAAATAAGGCATTGAGAAAGAAGAAAATCCTTTTCAGACCAAAATGATGAGGTTCCAAAGTAAAAGCTCCTTAATCTATATTATGAGTGTATTTTTATTTCACATATTATTTACACATGAAGAATTTAAAAGCCATTATTGCAGATTTCTCAGGAAGTGTTCCATGTTAATCACTAGAATCACCAATTTTCAACAAAATACATATGAAAGGTTTAAATTAAGCATCAATATCATCTTTAACAGTTTTAATAACATATCGTCAAGTCACTAAAGCTTACCATCCCACAGCAGTTTCACTTACCACTAAGATCCAATAAGTTGAATAGGACTGGGCAATTTCCTATACTCCTGACCATGGTTATCGCAGACCAAACTTTTTGGTACTCCTCCCTTGAGGCTCTGATGATACTAAGTTTTGTAATGGGATTCACATACTTGACTGTTCAAAAATAACAAAAGGACACCAAATATATCAGGGCATATTATTAAATGTTGAAAAGCAAGTTTATAATGCAACCGATAAAACTTCTGGCAATATGCACTCACCTTGTAATGATCCAAGTGATGAAGCTAGACCACACTCCCCAAAATTTTCAAGAAGGCTATCTTTGATTGCTTTTGACACATTAAATTGGGTGATTATAATGGGATCATCTACCACAAGATCTCTATTAGGATCCAGAAAAACCTCCATGACCATATACCTATTTTTGAATCCCACCATGATCCCTTCACCTTTTGGGCTACAATCAGCACATTAATTAAGCACAGGTCATATACACAAAGACCTCTTGATAATTGAGAAAGAAAAGTTAAGCAAGATTAGCATGTGAAAAATGATAAATAAAATTAAATTTAAAAAAGAAAAATTCTACAAAGACAAAAATGAGCTAATAAACAACCGCAATATTATCAAAGAAAAAAACGCATGAGCGGATGATTCGATAAAATCATTGAACCTGTAACGAACTGTATTTTTAAAACAACACAATATAATCAAAGTTTAGCAGTGTTCTCAGCCAGGAAATTGATCGAACATGAAGTTGCACAAAATCTTCGGTCCAAATCTGATCATATAAGAGATACACATATCAATAGTTACCCGATTGTAGCTGAACAATAATGATCCCTCAGCAAAAAGCAAGAAAAATCTTTGCTTAATTTGCCTATCAATCAAACCCTGAGCTTGATCGCTTTGGCTTGATGCTGAAACAAAGAAAATAAAAATAAAAAAATCGCAAAGGAAAAAGCAAGGAGTCACAGGGGATGGGCCGGAGACACGGTGGCGAACTCAGGCGGGGATCAACTGCGCCGCCTATCACGGTGGCGGAGGAGGAGTTTGACAGATTGCCTTCTTTTTGGGGGGGCCTTATTATCGGTCTGAATTGACGATGGGCCTGTCCTGAATTGTTCAAAAAATTTCAGCCCAGTCCAATGGCACGCTAGCTGTAGTAGGTTAATGGCTCACTGGAGCCTAATAATAAACTAATGAAGTTTAATTTAAAAATGTAAGTATACATCATTATAATATTTTGTCAGAATTTTATTTTTTTTTTTTTATCTCATTTACAACGTGGTGATTTTATTACTAGTTTTTAAAAATCGGTAATCATTGACTCTGATTTTTTTATTAGGGCCATCTTGCCTCATAACCCAATTTTAGATTGAAAAATATTTGGTAACTCAAATTTATGTGATTTGAATGGCTTAAACATCTCAAAATGACGTCGTTTGCATTTAAAATGACGTCGTTTTAAAACATTCGAGCTATTCAAACTATAAAAATTTGAACTACCAAACATTGATGTTTTAAACTAGATCACAGTCGTTATGAATCTAACTCTAATGAATGAATTTATTGATTTATATGTTCATGTTCATAGATCACTTATAGAAAAAATTAAATTAAATCAATAATTGTGGTTATATAATTTCATCATATTTGTTTATGAAATGTAAATAATTTTGTATTTAGTTTGAATTAGATATGATTTATTTATTTTTTTAAAATTCACAATTTGATGCACAATGATATGATATAACAATTATAAGTTTTTAATTTGTTACATAATATAAGACATCACTCTGTTGTCACATCAATATAAGTGAATTAATAAATTTAAAATTATGAATTTATAACATTTTTCAATTTAAAAAATACATTATCTATTTTTTTAACACAAATTGTTGTTTTTTAAGACAAGGATAATGAAATGAAATTATATAATTATAATTATTGAATTAATTTAATTTTTTTATAAATAATTTTGAATAAATTATAAATATCTCCCTAGATATTTTTTAAATACAAATTATTCATGTAATTCTGTTAATTATATTTTGCTTCTTGAAGTTTCGAATTTCATAATAAATTATCTCTTTTATTAATAAATTATTAAATTAATTAATAATTTTAATGATATCATAAGTTTATTTCAATTAATAATTCAAATAATTTTATTATTGTACATAAAAATAGTTTTAAATTTTATTTTTTAATTAATTTTATTAAATAAAAAATTTTGATAATAAAATATTTATAAATTTTAAAACTAATAAGACACATTTATATTTTATTAATAAAACTCAAGAATATACTTATAATTTAAGGAGACTTACACACAGCACAATGGCCCCATTTGGTAAAACTGTGGGAAAGTTATTATAACTTATAGTTTAACAATTTATAACTGTGAACATAAACTGATTTTTTACTTATAAATTAAGCTTCTCCTCCCTCACTCAAAGAATAAATTCATTTTTTGCTTATAAAAAATTATAAGCTGTATTATTAAACTGAACCAAACACATCAAAATAATTTAAATTAAATTAAAAATTAAAATAAGTTAAAAATAAATCCTATCAAAACAGGGTCAACGGCACAGTGGGATATATCTTGAGCCTGAACCGGGCCGGTCAAGTCCACACAGTGGGGAGGGGAGACAACGATCTTTTTTTATAACTTATAGTTTAACAATTTATAACTGTGAACATAAACTGATTTTTTACTTATAAATTAAGCTTCTCCTCCTTCACTCAAAGAATAAGTTTATTTTTTGCTTATAAAAAGTTATAAGCTGTATTGTTAAGCTGAACCAAACACATCAAAATAATTTAAATTAAATTAAAAACTAACATAAGTTAAAAATAAGTCCTACCAAAACAGGGTCAACGGCACAGTGGGATATATCTTGAGCCTGAACCGGGCCGGTCAAGTCCACACAGTGGGGAGGGGAGACAACGATCTTTTTTTATATTTGTTTAAAATAGAATTAGGTAAGTAGGAACACGGAATTGAGAGAAAAATGCATTGCCACCATCAACGAAGATGACGGGAATTGCGTACACGTGTCAATGATCGGTAGGATAGTTAAGTCAACAAAGTCTTCAACAAACAAAAACACTTCGAAAATGGAGACCTGGATTTGGGAGGAATTTACTAATTTTTTATTATAATTAGATTTGATAATATAATCTATTGTGTTACATGTATCAATTAATATATAAATTAGTGTTGGTATATTAATTAATATATCAATTGGTACATATAATATTATTCTATAACAATAATGTTTAAGACTCCCTTTTCCTCACCCCTTTTGACCCCCTCTCAATATGATCGGCCAATTTTTCTTTTCTTTTTTTTTATTTTTCCTTCTCCTCCAATCACCACCCGCCACGTGTGTGTGTGGAGATGGTGGGGGTGGTGATCGGAGGGAGTCTCAATCATGACCCATTCTATAATCTATTACATTTACATTGGTTGTTTGGGAGGAGAGGTCATTGGTTGGTTAAGAGATAACGTCTATATTTATTGTAATTAGTAAAAGAGATAACGTCTATATTTATTGTAATTAGTAAAAGGGATAGGGTCTACGATTTTATATTGAGTGATTGAAAAATATGAAAAGATAAATTTGTGATTGGTTTAAGGTATAATTACGTGATGTCCCAAGACTAACTAATAATTTTTAGTTTGGAAGATAGTAAGAAGCCTATGCATTTATGATTGGTGAAAAACTTTTTTTGATTAAAATAAATAATAAAGACAAAAAAAAATTAAAATAATTAATAAGGTAAAATATTACATTCTATATATTAATTATTATTTTTTTCTCACAGCTATCTATTTAATTAAAAAAATAAAAATTATTTCAAATAAAAAAAATTTTAATTTATAAAATAGCGAAATAAAATAACTCAAGTTGTTAAGTTTCTAAGCGAGATCGAATTGTCTTTGAGCATGTGACTATGAATGCATCACTCAGCGGTAGTGTTACATGTATTAATTAGTGTACACATTAGTATACTAACTAGTGTTATGATATCATTATTGACCATATTTATTATACCAGTTACAAATACCCAAAATCATACAAATGATGTCATATCATCTATTAGTACACTAGTGTGCATATTAATTGGTATATATAGCATTATTCTATCACCCGTGTTATACATGGGATAAAATAATATATTATTTATTAAAAATACAATAATTATATTTAATTTTTTTATATTTTATCTCTCTTAAATAAAATTTTATATATAAGTTTAAAGATTTTGTATCAAATATTCATTTATTATAACATATACTACAGATAGATTAAAATTATTATATTGACAATTAATAATTAAAATTATGCTTTGTTATAAAAAGATGACATAATTCTAATATTTCACTATTTTAGAATAAAAATATATGAATTTTAAAAAATTGTCATATTAGTTTTTGAAAGGAAAATAATTAAAGAAATTTTAAAAACTTAATAAGTAAGAAATCATCATCGTAACATATAAAACCGCTAAAATCATAATTAAACCAGCAAATCATTCAAACTAAAAATGTTTTAGTTTAATCAATTAGGTCAAAAAACCAATCAGATTACACAAAAATTAATTAGTTATAAGAGTTTCAAAATCTCATACAAAATTATTGTTAAAATCAAAACCTCTATTTGAGATTATAAAATAAAAGTTATATAAAAGCTAACCAATCGAGATTTTCTTAATTGTTTAAATTAAGAAAATAAAAAAAAAATAGTATAAGATATTGATCATAAGGCTTCTCACTAAAAATCTTCTTTTTCTTGGGAGCATAAGATTCACTTTATATAAATGAAACAATTCAATTTTTCCTTTTTTTCTTGATGTAGGATTGTAAAATAAAAATTAAATAGAAACTAGTCAATGAGAATTTTTTTTAATTGTTTAAAATTAAGAAAATTCATTAATTTATATAAATGGGAGTATAAGATTTACTTTATATAAGTGAAACAACTCATGTTTTTCTTTCTTTTTTCGATGTGAGATTGTGATTATTTTAAAGTTAAATATTATGACAGTTTCAAAATATTATACAAAATTATTTTTAAAATCAAAACCTCTATGTAAAATTATAAAATAAAAGTTTTATGAAAACTAAACAATGGAATTAAGAAAATCAAAAAAAAAATTAGGATGTGATATTTATCATAGTGTTTTTCACTAAAAATCTCACTTTGCTTATATAAATTGGAGCATAAGATTCACTTTTTCCTTCTTTTTTCCTGGTATGAGATTGTAAAATAAAAGTTAAATGGAAACTAGTCAATGGAGATTTTCTTAATTGTTTAAAATTAATAAAATTCAATAATTTATATAAATTGAAGCATAAAATTCACTTTATATAAGTGAAACAATTCAATTTTTTTTTTCCCAATGTAAGATTGTAAAATAAAAGGTAAATGGAAGTTAGCCAATAAAATTTTTTTTAATTGTTTAAAATTAAGAAAATTCAAAAATTTTAGAATTAGGATTTGAAACTTCTATAAGGCTTCTCCCTCCCTTTATAAGATTCACTTTATATAAATGAAATAACTTACTTTTTCCTTCTTTTCCTAATGTGGGATTGTAAAATAAAAATTAACAATTGTTTGGGCAAGAATTTTATTTTTAATCAAACAATCTCAATTATTTAGTTTATTTCGAATCAAACAAATGTAACTAATATATTTTGATAAAACCGCTAAAATCACGATTAAACCAGCAAATCATTCAAACAAAAAACAATTTTGCTTAATCAGTTAGGTCAAAAGACCAACCAACTTATACAAAAATTAATTAATTAATTAAAATTTTTAAATTTTATTTTACTAAAATTTAAACTGCCACTAAATATGGAAAACAATTTATTAATTTAAATTTAAAATTGACACTATATAAATTTAAAATTATAATAATCTATCCCATGATTTATAAGTTTTAAATACAAATTTAAAATTATCATAATTATCTCATTATTTTTGTATTAAGGAGCAGGAAGAGTGATGTTGAGATTATCAATATATCTATATAGGTTACAAAAGAATACGTTTAAGGAGAGATATTATGAGAGTTTCAAAATCACATACAAAATTATTTTTAAAATCAAAACCTCTATGTGGAATTGTAAAATAAAAGTTAAATAGAAACTAGGATTTTCTTAATTAAATGCAAAAGTATGCCGTAAAAAATGTATTGTTTAAAATTAAGAAAATTAAAAAAAATTAGTGTGAGACATTAACCATAAGATTTCTCACTAAAAATCTCATTTTACTTATATAAATGCGAGTATAAGTGAAACAATTCACTTTATGTAAGTGAAACAATTCACTTTTTCTTTTTTTTCTTGATGTGAGATTGTAAAATAACAGGTAAATGGAAGTTAACCAATGAGAATTTTCTTAATTATTTAAAATTTAAAAAAAAATCAATAAATTTTGAATGATGATTTAGAGCTCCTAAAAGATTTTTTCTTAAAAATCTCTTTTTCCTTATATAATACTAGCATATCACCCGTGCTATGCACGGATTGTATTTACAATTATCTATATATGTGAATTGAGATTTTTAAATGTTTTTTTTTTTGTTAAATGTCTTCTTTTTTTCCTTTTTTATATTATATTAAAGTTTAATATTTTGATAATAATCATATGTGTTGGACTTTTCAAGGAATTAAAAGTAATTTTTTTATTATATTATATTAAAGTTTAATATTTTGATAATAATCATATGTGTTGGACTTTTCAAGGAATTAAATATCTTTTTTTTATTATATTATATTAAACTTTAATAGTTTGATAATAATCATATGTGTTGAACTTTTTAAGAAATTTTTTTTTTATGCTTGTTGTTCTTAATGCATTAAAGTGTTATTATGATGGTAAGACTTGGGAGTTGGGAGAATTTAATAAATGCTAAGATTTTTGAAAAAAAAAATCAAAAAATCAAGAAATTTAGATTGGGAGATTGGAACTCCCACAAGGCTTAGGGTTAAAAACCTCATTTTACTTAATATATAGTATAGATACTAGTGGTAATCCGTACTATGCACGAGGCTTTATAAATTTAAAAAAAAAATAATCATTATAATTATCTTGAGGTAATTTAATATTTTGTCTTGTGGTATACATGAAATTTATAAGTTAACTTTTGTATTTATAACTTTTTAAATTATTAGTTTAAAAAAATTACAAAATATCTATATATATAAATCTATTCAGTACAATTTTGAAAATTTATATTAAAAAAAAAGTTTAACTTGATTAAATGAATTATGGCATATCTCTTCTTGTTATGAAAATATACAAATTTAAAAGTTATAATTAAGACAAATATAAAATTTTATAATTAAATGTGAAATGAAGTGATATTTAACAATAATTAATACGATATTTTTGTATTAAGAAGCAGTAAGAGTGACGTTGAAATTATAAAAATATCTATATAGGTTACAAAAGAATACTTTTAAGGAGAGATATTATAAGAGTTTCAAAACATCATACACAATTATTTTTAAAATCAAAACATCTATATGCGATTGTAAAATAAAAGTTAAATGGAAGCTAACCAATAAGGATTTTCTTAATTGTTTAAAATTAAGAAAATCAAAAAAATTAGTATGAGATATTGAATGGGAGTATAAAATTTACTTTATGTAAATGAAATAATTCACTTTTTCTTTATTTTGTCGATGTGGGATTATTAAATAAAAGGTAAATGAAAGTTAGCCAATAAGAATTTTCTTAATTATTTAAAATTAAAAAAATTAAATAATTTTAGAATGGGGATTTGGAGCTCCAAGAAGATTTCTTTTTAAAAATCTCCCTTTCTTTATATAATATATAGATATAGCTTATTTTGGAAAGTGGATTTTTTTTCTTAATTTATTGATTTTTTTTTAAATGTATAAAAAAATAGAGAGGTGATATGATCTAAATAAGTGAATAAATTGATTTTTTTTTTTTTGCCTTTCCAAAATGCGAGACTTGGGTCAATATTTTTTTTCATTTATTTACTAATTGACATTTTATATTATTTTTAAAAATTCAATAAAAAATATTTTTATAATTTAGATCAATAATAATATTATACTTACTACAGTTTTATGATATTATATTTTATAGGGTAAATTACATTTACCTCCCCTGAGGTTTCTGACAAATACAGGGACCTCCCCTGTGGTTTGAATAATTACAGTAACACCCTCTACTTTACCTGACAATCTCAAAATTCCCCCAAAAGTTGACAGCCGTTTAAACCCCTAACAGACCCTGCCTATGTCATCAAATGTAAACAATAAAATGCCCATAATACCCTCAACCCATCTATGTATAGCAAATGCTAGAGTCTCCAGCTTCACTTCGGTAAATCCAAGTGGAAGAGAAAAATTTAGAGAGGCAACCAAAACTAAAGAACAACAAAAAGAAGAAAGGGCCAAGCACAACACAGGTATGTTCCCAGTCACATTAACTATTTAAAAAAAAAATTTGCATATGAAAATGCATTATAACTATGCCCATTATTGAGAAATGAAGCACAAGCACAACACATGTTCCCAGTCACATTAACTATTTAAAAAAAAAAAAATTGCATCTGAAAATACATTATAACTATGATCCATTATTGAGAAATGAAGCACAAGCACAACACATATGTTCCCAATCACATTAACTATTTAAAAAAAAAAAAAATTGCATCTGAAAATGCATTATAACTATGATCTATTATTGAGAAATGAAGCACAAACACAAGTATGTCCCATGAATATATGTCCTGAAAATGCATTATAACTATGATCCATTATTGAGAAATGAAACACAAAAACAGGTATGTTCCATCAATATATGTCCTGAAAATGCATTATAACTCTCACATTTCATGAATGTAGGTTCACTGGATGGATATATCATCATCAAGTAATGGAGGAGGGGTGATGAAATATAGAAGCAAGATCTGTTACTGTGGGAGCAAAGCAACAATTAAAGTCACTGAATCTGAAAAAAAACATAGGCAAATTGTATTATTTATGCCCAAATGGGAAATGCGGATTCTGGGAGTGGTGCAAACCAGTAAACTCATCTGTTGGAGGAGAAATGATGATGGAAGACACTCAAACAACTGTTAACAGACACACTTTATCCTATGAAAAAGAAAGTCCTGCAATGAATTTAATAAACCAAATGGGGGCTATGCAAACAAGGATGCAAGTACTTGAAGCAAACATGGGGTTTATAAAGATGATAATGATCATGAATTTTGTGATGTGTTTGATTTCCCTAATGGTTGCTCTAAAAATGTAATGGTAATGATTCACCTACTGTTTTGTAATGGCCCTGTAATACTGTTTTGTAATGGCCCTGTAATACTGTTTTGTAATGGCCCTGTAATACTGTTTTGTAATGGCCCTGTAATACTGTTTTGTAATGGCCCTGTAATACTGTTTTGTAATGGCCCTGTAATACTGTTTTGTAATGGCCCTGTAATACTGTTTTGTAATGGCCCTGTAATACTGTTTTGTAATGGCCCTGTAATACTGTTTTGTAATGGCCCTGTAATACTGTTTTGTAATGGCCCTGTAATACTGTTTTGTAATGGCCCTGTAATACTGTTTTGTAATGGCCCTGTAATACTGTTTTGTAATGGCCCTGTAATACTGTTTTGTAATGGCCCTGTAATACTGTTTTGTAATGGCCCTGTAATACTCCTTTTGTAATGGCCCTTATGTAAGGTTTTGTAATATTTGGTAATAGACGTTATGTTTGTAATGCAATATGTTTTGTAATGGACCATATATAAATATGATGAAGTTATTTCAGCATTATGTAAATATGCACATCTCATTTGAATAACATAATGACCTGTAAACATAATCTAAACAGCAAGTAAAACCATTCCATAAATATGCACCTGTTTAATTACATCATGATTGTTGTAAAATATGTTCAAGTAGTTTACTTACATCATTCCTATCAGATATGTTCAGTTACATCATCAGTTATAAAATACTTCATGGCCACTACAAAAAAACAAAAATGGCCACATCATCATATTGCTATTCTTAGCATTGCATGTCCATTACAAAAATACAAAAAAGTGGAACATGATCCTCACTAACTATACAGTCAAGCAACATATATTTTATACCTTCAACCTATGTTAATCCTTGTACCCAAAATATCAACAACTTAGCTAAGTCATCTGCAAAAAAAGTCAAACAAACAAACAAACAAACAAATAAATTGATGTTGTCTGACCTATGTCACAAACAAACAAATATCAACAACTTAGCTAATTTCATTGTAACTTCATAAGTAAGTTCATAACTAACATGATGTTGTGTGACCTGTGTCACACATTCAGCAGGCATTGGGGGGGTCCCTCTTGGAATATCCTAAATTGAAAACCAAAGTAAGGTAATAAATATGCATATCAATATCATAAATTGATAGAAAACAAATAAAAATCACAAATGAAAAGGCAAAACAAATACAAAAAACTTACTTGTGCATGGTTGGCCTTGCTATTGCCTCTCACTTATGCATGGTTGGCCTTGCCCTTGCCTCTCCCACTTGAACTTCCCTTCCCAGCTGAACTTCCTCTTGTAGTTGTATTTCCCCTCCCAGTTGAACTGTCCCTCCCACTTGAGTTGCCTCTACCACTTGCATTACCCCTCTTAGCTGAACTACCTCTCCCACTTGAATTGTCTCTACCTCTGCCCCTACTCACAGATCTGCCACTGCCCCTACCAGCAGTTTTGGCACTGCCTCTACCACTGGATGTGCCATCAGTTTTGCCACTGCTTCTACCACTGGATGTGCCACTACCCCTACCAGCAGCAGATGCTTCACCCCTGACTGGACCTCTTTGGCAAGTTCTCTTGTTGTGTCCAAATTGCATGCACCATTTGCATCTCAAGGTACTAGACCTTTTGGTCTGACTTGTTCCAGCTGGTGGCTCATGAGTAGCCCTCTTTCTTGAAGTCCTTGGCCTTCCTGGCAATCTTTTTAGTGGTGGGGGTTGTAAAGGGTCCCCAGGTATAAGTGTCCACATGCTATGGTGTAAGATGGGATGTATCATTCCACCATTGGCTCTCAAGTAAGTTGCCTTAGAATAGTAGGGGTGGACAAAATCTTCTATGTTTAACCTACTGTGAGAAATTGCAGCCACAGCATGCTTGCATGGAAGACCAGATATTTCCCACTGTCTACATACACAAGTCATTGCCCCAATATGGACAATGTGATTAACCCCCTCATTATCCTTCACCTCATACTCATTGCCTCCTGCATACTCCACTGTGCAAGTCCTTGACCATTTCTGTGTGACCTCAAGCTGTTTCTTCACATTCAATGTGACATTAGATTTCCATTGCATTGCCTTTTGGTACCTCATCTGAAACTTACCCATCAACTTGCACCTTATGCCCTCTAACATAGTTAAAATTGGCTGAGTTCTCAAATTTCCTAACCAATTGTTGAAGGACTCTGTCATGTTATTTGTGATGTGATCACTTCTAATCCTACCATCAAATGCATGCCTAGACCTTCCTTCAACTGGAACCTTCTGCAACCAAATGCAAGCATCATTGTTCAGGTCCTTAATGGCTTGCATAGCCTTATCATACTCCATCTGATTGTAAGCCCTTGCTGCTCTCCAAAATTGCTTCCTCAAAATTAAACCCGGAAATTTGGCTCTGAAATTGTTATATAGGTGCATGCAACATCTTCTATGAGTTGCCTCCGGTATAATGTCACTCACAATCTTATCAAGGCCCTGCATATAAAAACAATGAAACATTACTAAGCATTACAAGTTTAAAATTAGAGAATCATTTGTAATTATGTAAGTAAAGTAGTTGTTGAATATGTCAGTAAAGTACCTTTTGTTGATCAGACATGATGGTCCATGGTCTAGAAGGTAGTGCATCTTCTATGATTGTTCTCAAGTTGTGCAAGAAAAAAGACCAACTGTCCTTGCATTCCCCCTCTACTATTGCCAATGCCAATGAAAAAAAGCCATTATTTCCATCCAAGGCAACTGCTGAAATTAAAACACCACCATAGGGACCCTTCAAGTGACACCCATCTACCCCTATGAATGGCCTACATCCATTAATGAACCCTGCTTTCATTGCATCAAATGATATGAAAATTCTTTGGAACAATGGATATTGAGGAATGGTAGGGTCTGGTTGTTCTCCATCTTCTGAGACTGGGGTAGAGGGTATGTCATAATTTATGACAACCAAGCTGCCAGGGTTTGTTTTGTTGATTTGACTAGCATATGTTGGCAACAACACATATTGGCTCCCATGATCACCCTCCAGCTCCTCCTTGCACCTCCTTTTGGCTCTATACAGTTGCATTCTTGAAGCCTCAATCCCAAACATTTTATTCAGTTTCATTTGCATGGTATCTAAGCCCATGTGTGGATTGTCCTTAAAACTTTCAACCATTTTTTTAGCAATCCAAGCTGATGTAGCTTCAGTGTTTGTGTTCATCCTGCTACATGTGTGAGTAGGTACTAAGGTTTTAATCTTGTAGGTGATCCCATCTGGAAGTGGAGATGCATGAATTCTCCAAGGGCAGCCCTCAGCAGCACAATGGGCTGTTACTCTAGACTTCTCATTTTTGTCTCTTACTATCTTGAAACCAGTTTGCACTGTATAGTCCCTTAATGTAGCCCTAAAAGTATTCACTTCTGGAAAAATCATCCCTTCTTCCAACACAACTTCTCCATCTTGATTCATATATGGCTCTTTTCCCATTGTAGGTACCATCATACTTCATGCCTGGAAACCTCATCTCTTCATCATCTAGACAGTCTGCTTCATCATCATAATCATCATCAGTACTAGAATATGGCACTTCATCATCACCAGATTGGTAATCACTAAGTTCAGCATCATCACTTGAGCACTCATTATCATCATCACTCAAAATCTCATTGGCATCTGATTGGTTTTCATCCTCAGCAGTTGCATTCCAATCCCTATCCTCATCACTAAACCCATAAACATTGTCCTGATGGTACTCTTCATCTACATCTATAGTATGGTAGTCTTGCTCTACATCTACAGCATCTACTCCATGATTTTCATTTCCAACATTACTTTTATGTCCACCATCACTCATTCCAATAGAATATTCTATGTTTACATACAAGTTAATTGTTTTACTCCTTCCTTGCACATAAAACATGTCTAGCACATCAAGATCATTTTCTACTAATCTCCTTCTGTCAGTACCAGGCATATCACAATGCAATGTGATTGCTATTGCTTCACTACAAGAAATGTGAGACAGGACTGTTGCAGTTACATCCTTCAAGGCATCAATGTAGCAATACATATTTGGGTCCACATCAAACACTCTTCCCACTTTTCCTTTGTAGTTGATGATTAAATCAAAATAAGGAAATGCAGCCATACTGTAATCATAATGATGTACCAATTATAAAATAAAATAAGCAAGCCCATACAATGACAATATGCAAACATGAAGAAATCCGTAAATTACACTATAATTATACTAATATTAAACAATCATAAGTAAAACCCAACAAATCAGAAATTCATTCTAAACATACATCTCCTGAATAACACCCAGAAAATCATAAATTCATAAATTTTCAACAAATTCCCTGTATTCGAATCAGAAATTTTGCAAATCAAATAAAAGCCCTCAACATTGCAAATCAAATAAAAGCCCTAAACATACATCTCATAAATAAAATAAAAAAAATCAGAAATTTATATTAAATCCCTACATTACACTATTATTATAGTAATATTCAACAAATTCCTTTTTTCCAGTCAGAAATTTTGCAAATAAAATATAAACTCTAAATATATATTTTCGAAGAAAACCATTTTCACATACATTTCATCAAATCAAACACAGAATACAAACAAATTTGTAAGAAAAAAGATGGAAAAAAATATTCGAAAATCATCAACACACATTTTAAAACACTATTCGAAGCTTACAGAGTTCGAAATCTTACCTGGAAGCCGTAACAGCAACTTCTCACCGATGAAACTCTTTTACATTGTGTACTGGCAACGACGATCGGTTCAAAACCTCAAGCTTTTTCGTCTTCTTCACAATCGACGATCGGTTCACGACGATCGCCTCCCTCTCTCTTTTCTTTCTCTGAACAATTCGATTTGTATTGTGAATGTATTGATTAGGGATTTTGTGAACAAAGGGCTTTTTGGTCTTTTTGCAAGAAAAAGCAAGGGTCACATGGTCATTTTCTATTGGATACTAACGTCGCTTGGGCAAAATAGACGAAATGGGGGAATTTTGAGATTGTCAGGTAAAGTAGGGGGTGTTACTGTAATTATTCAAACCACAGGGGAGGTCCCTGTATTTGTCAGAAACCTCAGGGGAGGTAAATGTAATTTACCCTATTTTATATTATTTATCAATGCGATATTAATATGATAAGTCTCACTACAAATATATATTTTCAATATAATTTTTTTTTTTTTTGAGGTTGGTAAGACAGAGATAGAAAAAATAAAATTATGATTGCATTAAAGCAACTCTAATATTTCTTTCTTCTCACATATGAATTAAATGTCCGTGGGGGGGGGAGGGGGTGTTTGGTAAGACAGAGATAGTAAAAATAAAATTATGATTGCATTAAAGCAACTCTAATATTTCTTTCTTCTCACATATGAATTAAATGTCTTGTAAAAGATAACAAAGTTGAAACTTGAGCTACATTTGACATCATTTTTATCATGCTAACAAATTAAATCATGATGGTGTTCAAAAAAAAAAAAAAAACAAATTAAATCATGATCACATCACAGGTTACTTTATGGCAAAAACATTCAATGGCAAAAAAATAATAAGTTATTTATATCAAAGTAATATGTGAATTGTGTAACTAAAAAATAAATTTTTTACTTGGTAACAAGCTCAAAAAAAATTCACATTGTCATTTTAGTCTTTGCTATTAAAATTACTCTTAGACTTCGTTTAGAACATGTTATTTTAGTAATTTTTTGATTTTTTATGAAAAGATATGTAGAAAAGTAAAATGATATGATAACTTAGAGTGACTTTTTAATTTTTTGACTAAAATAGTTTCTCTCCAAACAAAACCTTAGACCAATTAACCATTAATTTAAAGGTAAGTTACACTAATCTACCTGACATTTTTAAAGAATATAACAAGTCACATAATTTTAGTATAATTATACTAGGTTCACTTGGGATTTAAGTCGTACAACATTTAGGCCAAGTTTGGCATGTCTAAAAAAAGATAAAAAATCAAAAAGTTACTCAAAAAATTAAAAAGTTATCACTATTTACAAAAAAAAAATTAATCTTACACACAAAATTACAACTCATCAATCTAACCTGTTTAGATCTGTGCTGCGTTTTAAAAAAAAAATTGCACAGTTGGGGTGTAATTTTAACACACTGTTGTTCAGCCTGTAGGGGCCCATTACAGGTCCCGTTTTGATAATCTAAACCGTTTAATGTGTAGAACTCGTCGAGTACTATATGTCTGTAAAAAATCACATTAATCAGATATCGATAACTACATGATCAAATCAATTTTGTATAAAAAAATGGATGGTGTTATAATTAATGGTTGAAAAAAAAACAAATCTGATCAGATAACTATCGATATCTGATCAACGTAATTTTTTACAGGCATATAGTACTCGATGAGTTCTACACATTGAACGGTTTAGATTATCAAAACGGGACCCATGATGGTCCCTACGAGCCGAACAACACCTTCCAGTGCAATGCCCAAAAAGTAGACAATTACTTCTTAGCATTCAACCTGCGCAGATAGGACAACCGTACAACTCACACTCCTAATCTTCTCCTGCACACTAATTTATACAATTTTTTAATACATATTTTTTCATAAAAAGTCAAAAAATTAACCTAAATAATCATATTTTTTTCCTCAACTTTTTAGTCAAGAAAGTCAAAAAATGCACTTATTTAGGACAACCCAAACAACCCCTTAATCATATTTTTGTCAATAATTATATGGAAAAATAGTATTGTCATATATTTTATACTTAAAACATATTTATTTATTTTTTTAAGACGGGATAATCATGGAAGAGGGGTTGTTGTTGTGCTAAGGGCACAACAGTAACTGTTGCACCTCAATTTGAGATTTATTTTATAATCCAAACTGTTCATTTATAAAACTCGTCAAGTACTTCAAGCATGTAAAAAATCATATTAATCGGATATCGGTGATTATGTGATTGGATTACATTTTTCATAAAAAATAAACAATCTATTTTTCTTTTACAATAGTATAAAAAATATACAATCTGATCATGTAGCTACCGATATCCGATCAATATAATTTTTGATATATGAAGTACTCAACAAACTCTACAAAATGAACGGTTCAGATCATAAAAATAAGTTTATAATAAGCCTCAAATAGAGGCACAACAGTGATTGTTGCGCACTAAGAGCACAATAACAACCCCCTTCCAATATTTGTTACTAGGTATGCCTGTGCCTGAAGGCACGGTGACTATTAATAGATGAAAATGTAATTGAATATAGAATTATTGGGTTAAAATGTAATTTATTTAATTTGTTGGGAAAAAAAAATTGAGGTGAAAATATAAATAAATGATCTGTATGGTTTTGAATTTTCAAATGAATTTTATAATTAGATTTTTTAAAAGAGTTTGGAGTATTATAGTATGATGACACAAATGCAAACAAAGATCATATCAACAAATATTGACTATTGTAGTATTTTTGTTTATGTAACCCCCTTGCAATTTGTAATAAAAAATAAGCATTTTATTATCCTAGCCAATAACAGTACTCAAATAAATTTCTATATCCACATTTTTTAAGATAGTGAGTTTTGATTGAAGTAAAGAAGAGAGATCTCAAAGCTATAGTTTTGCATCAATTTTAATGTGATGGTTAAAATCTACCAATTTTTATGGTTTGGTGGTCAGTTTATTGTGCAGAAAATTAAATAAATGAAAAATAAATAAATTGTATGCTACTTGGTGAATAAATCAATTTGAACATAAATTTTCCAAATTTATAGGTAAACGAAATAGTGAAAAGTAAACACATAAATGCTACGTAAAATTCAAGCACAACAAAAGTATAAGATTTTAAACAAACAATAAAATGTAAGTCCCACAACACAGAAACATCTATATAAAAATCAGACGAAATACGCCAGCTAATGCTATGTCATAGAAAAAAATAAACAACAAATTAAGCACACAAGCCAATGCTCTGCAATACAAAAAAAAAATGTCAAATAACAAATTAAGCACACCAGCCAGTGCTCTGCAATACAAAAAAAATGTCAAATAACAAATTAAGCACACCAGCCAATGTTCTGTAATACAAAGAAAATGCAACACTCTTCCTGATAAAAAGATAACCAAATAAAAACATGATTAGTTTTGTTTAACCTAATTCAAGATCATATTAGGAAGAAAAAACAAAAAAATAAAAAAATATATATCACCTAGTGTGTTACATTTACAAAAACAAACTCATAGCATAAATCAATAATTCAAATGAAATATTATCTAGCATACATCTAAACTTAGTTATAAATTTCACATAGATAAAAGGTTTTACAAAACTATTGTAAGTAATAAATTTCACATCGATCGGAAACTTTATAAGATATGGATCGTAGCTACCATATGTACGCTTTTCACAAAAATAAATATGAGATTCAAACTTGTTCTTTCTTAGAAATCCTAGAAGTGCCTCATCACTTTCCAAAAAGTCCTCATATCAACTTGTATGTATCAATAACAGCCGACAATCTATTTAATTTATGAAAATAAAAAAAGTTAGTATATTAGCAAAAGAAAATTTATATATATATCAAAACACTTTCAAATTGAAATTACCTTGTTACATCCCCATCGAAACAATCTAGTTGTATTTATATTTTTGAGCTCCATATATTTTTTAACCCAATCCTACAAAAGTCGACACATATAGTAAAATATTTTAAAAATAACAATTTGTAATCAATAAAAACATATTTATCAATAAATAAATTGTACCTTTTGACAAAAGTGGTTTGATCCATAAGTAACACTATAACAAAATTTCAGGATAAACAATGTTTGTAGTAGAATCTGGCTCATCATTGGGAAAAAGGACACTTATACGATCAAAAGATGTGCATCTAAATAGGGCCACATACAATTGCCCATGACTAAACACTGGTGTGCGCAAATCAACTCCAACAAATTTCAGAGATTACCCTTGAGATTTATTAATGGTCAAGGCATATGCCAATCGAACTGGAAACTGATGTCTTGTCATTCGGAAAGATATTTCTGAGGAAGATGGTGTCAAGGATATCCTTGGTATGAATACCAAATTGCCACATTTTTCTCCAGTTAAAATTTGAGCTTTAATTATGCGAGTATTGCATCTAGAAACCATCAATCTTGTGCCATTGCACAGTCCATCTTTTGGTGCAATATTTCTTAACAACATTATAGGGCAACCCACTTTCAACTCTACCTTAAAAGCCAGCAGCCCAGGAGGATCTAATGAATTTAAATATTCATTAAGATATCTATTTATTATAGTACGATCAATTTCATCATCTACAGACATCTTGTCTGCTGCCAAATAAGTATGTGTGTTACCGGGAAAAATATTCAATGCTGCAGTATTGATAGCACTGACATCATCATTCCGTGCAGAAAGAATTGCACGTTCAGTTAAAAATGTTGCAGTCGATGTCATTGCCACATCCAGTTGCGGATAAACTACTGAGATTATGTCTTTTAGATCTTGGCATTTGTGTATTGTTGATGGAAGTTTAACAATTTCCTGAGGATTGGTCTCAATCTATTTATAAAAATAAATAAATAAAATAGTAAGTAAAATCAATTAAAGTACATAAACGTAAATGTATTTCGTCAATTTAAAAGAACCATATAATAGAGAAAAAGTTTGAAGAAATATTACCTCCATCAAGAATTTTGCAAAATTAGCATTTTCAAGATTTGCATGATTCGAGCGCATGTTCAAATTTAAAGACAGAACATGTATATCCTTCCATAGAAAAGAGTGTCTTAATGATGCATTCACAATTTGCTCACGGATTCCTTTGGTTATAACTGGTAAGATTTGTCGAAAATCTCCGCCAAGAACAGCAGTGATACCCCCAAATGGCTTTTCACTATCACAAGTGTCCCAAAGTGTGCGATCAACTGCCTCAACACAATGTCTATGCTGCATAGGAACTTCATCCCAGATTATAAGTTTTGTTTCTCTAAACAATTCTGCTTGCAATGATTGCTTGCTAAATCCAAAAATTGAATTTTTCAATACATCCAACGGAATGGAAAATGTTGAATGAGCAGTACGACCTCCTGCCAATACCAATGATGCAATTCCAGATGAAGCCACAGTAATAATAATGTGGCCAAGGCTGCGACACTTTAATGCAATCGCATTGTACAAAAACGTTTTCCCTGTTCCGGCACCTCCATTCAAAAAGAAAATAGTTCCTTTATTTTCAAAGACTGAAGAAGTGATTGCATCATAAGCTGTTTGTTGATCATTGTTGAGGCAATCAATAATAATTTCTGCATCTGCCTGTTGTGCCTCATTATGCAGTTGTTGATGTTCGAATATCAACCTGTTACCAACTACTGCACTCCAATTTGTAGAAGGTTGTGGCATTGGCGGGAAGTCAATTAAACTTTTTCTTGATTCTTGGAGCATTTGATTCAAAAGATATAGACCATAGTCTTCAATTTGAGCCTCAGTTGGTTCAGAAATGACAAACAATGTTCGAATCTTATGTGCAAGATCATCACATATATGCATTGAAAATTGATTCCATAATGCATATGGTTGCAGTGGGCTGAGTAAGAATAATAGTAAACAATCTCCTTAATTGATAACCAGTTTTCATAACTGCAACCTCTTTAAGGCATTGTATCCATTTTTCATCATCTTCTAAAAGTCCTCTTGCAACACATGCTGATTTAAACGTATTATGCAAAACATTGTTGACCGTGCATAAACATTGAAACGATTTTGGTCCTTTGACAACAGTTGATAGCAAACGCAAATAAAATCTCTCACCACAATTAAGGCTAGCAAAGTACATTCTACTGATTGCATAGCCCTGCTGCCTTGGTTTCCATCTCTTTTCTGAATTAAGCCAAACAAAATGTTGTGAAAATTCTTGGTAAGTGAATGAACATTCATCTTCCATAGAAGCGCAACATGCAAAAAAACCAGTAAGAGTTGACATTTGTTGGCCAGCTCCCGAAATAATTGCTTTTAATGATTCATCAAGATTAAAAAGAACGCGGTGCATTCCAGGTAAATGAAGTGCTAAGCGTACAACTGTTGGTATCTCTGCATGCAATGGATAACCAAATATTCGCCAAGCAGCTTCTAGAGGTCCAATATACCTCGCATCGAGATATTGTTGGATCTCATTTATCAATCTCAACACCATCATTGTACGATCATAACCCTTGTAAATGTACTTGTGTATATACTTGACACATCTCATTCCGACACAAACTTCGACATTTATGTGACAGTTGAAACGTTTAGAAAGATATGCATTGTATGGTACGATGTCTCTGTTATCAACTTCTTTCCCCTTCACAATATGAGCTTGACCATTATTGTGACGACGATAGATAGGATATCCATCTTGATCCATAGTAGTTATTTCTGCGAACGCTCGAGGGTATCTCTTAGTGCATTTACCATTTTCCATACATGGTGCTTGTGTATTTCGTGCACCACATGGTCTATATACCATACAACACTTGATTGTTTCAAAAAGTATAGGTTCATCTTTTGGATCTGGAAATTCTGCACAAACCAATTTGTCTATTTGAGTACATGTCTGAATTTTGTCTGGACCCTTAAGAAATAGGAGTGCATGCATATAAGGAAGGCCTCGCTTTTGGAATTCAATTGTAAAAACATGCGCAACTTTATTACCAAACACTCGGTTTGTTTCTATCTCCTTCATCAAACACTTTCTCTTTAACTCAAAAACACAGGCAATTAAATCAAGACAATCAATAGGCTTTTGGTGCGGTAATAATGCCGAAGTAATTTCTGGCCAATTAGGATTTGCAGTCATGGTGAGAAAAATGTCTGGATGTTGGTTGTATCGTGTGATAGCCATTGTGTCTTGAAAGATTTCAAACATGTGTCTAGGACCTCCAGGAAATGAAGATGGCAAAACAAACCTTTGACCAATTTGATTGGGTTGAAGGTCATTTGGATCAATATCTGTCAAATCTTGGTAAAGTTCAGCACGGATCTTCCCTTGATTAAGCTTGTAGTAAGTCAACCTATTTTGTTCAGTTGCAGCCCAAGCATCAACCAAAAACTCTTGGAACAATTTTCCAGCTCTCAGAATTGTTGAATACTCTGTGGGTCGTTCAAACAAACGATAACTATAAAAATCCATTTGAGTAAGCCGATCAGTTGAAGGCCGATCACGTTTAACATCCCACAGTTTCATCTCAGGTTCCCATCCAAGCTCACCATGTGGAAATAATAAAACATAATGTAATGGCAAATATGCTGGGTGACATTCATTGATTTGCATTAGCTCATTATTTCCATGTAGATGTAAGATAACATCTCTCATTCCACTAACCTTGGTTCCATCACCTGGTATTACAACTGCAATCTCATCTATAGTTGGTAGGTTATACCGTCGTCGATCTGTCGATGAACTGTAGTGGAGATGAGCAGGCAAATTTCGTCCTGTCAAGGCTAATTGATTCAAAATTGCATGAGCCTGGCAAAATTTAGCAACGAATGCATTAACCTGTAATAAACTATCT